TTAAACCATTTTGATTACTAGAGTACATTAAAGGTCTTGAAGTGTCATGTAACCCAACAGAAAGAGTATGAAGGAGTTACATGGAGAATTAGCATCTAGAAGTAGCAATTACTAGGACTTTAAAAGATCACTCACAACATTCATTGGCTGGTGAACTCTACAGAAGGTAAATCTGACAATTCTTAGCAACAGTATGTTCGCTATCATCCTTACAATACCCAGTAAACATATAGTTAATACACCATTACTTACCTAACAGAGTGGCTGTAAGTAACCAGCAGATGCAACGACAGGACATTCTTAGAAGGTAAATAACTATTTCGAACTCAGGGACTTCAAATGCTCCAAGTGCTCAGAGAGAGGGAGGAGCCAAACACAACTCACTAAACAGAAGTTTTAAGAGTGGAGAAACCTGTTTAAGAGTACTATAGGACCAGCAATCCATTTACAACTATTACATCTGTATATGGCGTGTTCATATTTACATTCTCTGATTTTGTATTAGTCATGGCCTAATTGCTTTTCAATAAATTTCAACCAATGTATCTGATTGCATGTTTTTTTACCTACAGTATTTTGTCAACATTAGGCGTAGCAACCGAGGGAGTAGTGATAAGAATCATTACTGGCATGTAGGGTTGCCACCTGTCCAGCATTAACCCAGGGTTTTGAATGCTGTGTCCGGGTTTCATGGCAGCAGAAACCCGGACACAAGATGTCAGGCAGACAGGGGCAACCAACATTAAGTTTGGGGCCTACTGGCTCCCACTGAAAATAGTCTCGACTGTGATATTTAAATATGAATTGGTGGCACTAATTACAAATGAACAAGCCACGACTCATTCCAAAAAAATATCTGTGCGTCACTAGAGTGTTCAGGTTTCGCTTGGAAAAAAGGTGGCAACCCTACTGGCATGGCCCTGGCTGTCTAGTTATCATCAGGGATTCTGATCCAAACCTTCAGCCATTGCAGTAATAGAAGCATTATGATTTTGTGAATTGTAGTATAAAGTGAACTTCTGCTTTCCCAATGCAGGACTCAAACAAGTTTTTAAAACTTTGCTCAGTACCAGATATAACAAAAACCTTATGTGAATTACCATCAACGTGCATATGCCATGAGACTTTAATCAACGTTTGCATCAACAAGCTCTCACTGCAGGTCCTCACCTCTTCTCCAGCACTCAGGGCCCTAACTGTTCACACAGATTCATATATTTCTTTTATAACCAGTTTCTAACGCACTACATTTGACTTGGGTATTTTACATTTTATGCACACAGTAGCATTCTGTGTTTCAGAATTGGAAATACTGTTTATTACCTACAGTAACCGATCATACCTGCACAGGCTCTTTCATTTACCATCTACTATCAGAAAATACTGAAGATTATCCTTGCAAAATCGTCCTGGCAAAACGGCATAATCCTAACCATGATTGAATCTCTAAAATTAATTTCACTCTTCCACATATGGAAGCTATTCAAGCTGAATGCTAGCACTACTACACTGATGAGGCTGGGGGCTATAGTATCTTCCACCCTATCTTGTCCCTCATACGATAATGGAAAGACCTGAATGCTGTAGGAAAACCACCGCTTGCATGAAGAGTGGACATGGGCATTGTGCAGAACCCAGCTTCAGGAAAAATAGTGGACCAATGGGAACCAACCCTCATGCTGTGGGGAACCGTATCCTGTCCCTCAGGGAAGGGAGGGCGGACTAAGCACTGTAGGGAATCCGACTAGTGCCTGCACATACCTGCAGAAGTCTCTTATATTCATCTTTTATGTCTAAATGCCTGGCCATTCTAACAAAGCTTCGAGGCTTATGCGTAGTGTAGAAGCTTGTCTCTGCCTCTATTTGTCCAGCACTATATGTGGTGCAGATGTGGACACTGATGAGAGATGTGAGGTCCCTCCTGGAGGTGTAGACACTGCTTAGTGAGCAATATATGTACAGATCTTGCTGATTTGCATTGAAAAACTCCTAGATGGGTCAAATCTAAAAGGTGTTGCTTTTTTTTGTCTCTCTGCTTCATATATTTTTTGAAGAAGACAGGGCCAGAGTTGTGTGTGCGAGGGACCCATAGCTAAACCATTAAGGAATCCCTCACTCTCTAATCTCTATTTCAAATGATAATTCCTCAAGGAATATTAATTGTTTTCATAGTAGTCAAATAGAGGGTACCAAACAATGTACATAAAGATATATCTGCTTGCTGTACATGTTACCGTGCAGCTTGACAGCCCTGGGCCCCTTGTGCATCTCGCCCCTTTAGCAGTTGCATCCTGTGTTATAGCTATAGTTACACAATTGGTGGCAGAACCGCACATTTCGCAGCCTGTGGAAAGTGTTGTACTTTCAGTGTAAACCCGGCAGTCAGCTTTACACATGTAGGCTGTTGGCTGACTTGGTCACTTTGTGTGTGTTTTGCATGTGATATGGTATAGTATGCAAAGAAGTATATGTTGACATCTTGAGTCTTTACGTGTTTTTAAAAGAAAGGCAAATTATTTGATATCCTGTGTACAGTTTGTCCAGTGTCCATCATTCTGGAAAATATCAGTTCTGCATGCTAATATAAAATCATCTTACAATTATTAGTTAAACAATTTTTCTCTCCTTTCACTTACAATTACTACTGTTTTTCCACTTTCTGGTCCTCTTAGGCATTAGTGATGTAGCTCATGCCTAAGAGATGCATCCTGGGAAGGTTACATCACAGAGCATTGCTAAGAAATCTCATCTGTAATCTCATGAGATCTCAGGGAAAGGCATTTTTTCCCCGTGAGATAATGTGCAAGGTCACATGATCGGGTAGATCGGGAAGTGAGCGAACACATACCGTCACTCGCTTACTTCTCAATCTATCCCTGCAGAGAGCAGTGACTGTCATTCACGGCTCCCTGCAGGGATTCCCCCCTCCCCTCCCCGCTCCTATCCTCCAGCGCTGACTGGTGAAACGGATGGGGAGGGGGCGGGCACAGCTGGCTCTGCCTCTGGATAGGCAGAGCCAGCTGTCAATCCCGCAGCTGGGGGGATCCAGACAGTATTGTCGGGATCCGTCCCTGCTGCCGCGTCTCAGTATACCGCGAGCTGTAGCTTGCGGTATACTGAGCTTTGGGTCACGGGAGGATGCAAGTTTGTGTCCTCCCGTGACCCTTATGAGAACTATGGGGAAAAGCCCTGACCCCATAGTTCTACTTTAATCTGCGCTTAGTAAATATGGCCACCGTGAAAAGAATGGGGAAGAGGTTTGCAGATTGCCAATACTAAACATTTCTAAAGGTGGCTTTGTTGTAATTTCAAAGATATGGGTAAAGTTCCTCCTTAAAATATGCTTAAAGTGGTACTTTTAGTAACTTTACAAGACTGAATAACGGAAAATTGTATACTTACCTATCGGTAATTTTCCTTTCCTGGTGCATCTTCATGGCAGCACACAATGGGTTAACGCCCCGCCCCTTAACCCCATAGGACAAGCCCTCTATAAGTTTTGCCCCCTGTGGCTTGGACCCCATTCTCGTGAAAATCATGAGCCATGCAGGGTGGGTGCCTGTGTGCTGCCATGAAAATGCAGCAGGAAAGGAAAATTACCTATAGGTAAGTATACAATTTTCCATTTTCCTGGCACATCATGGCAGCACACAATGGGAAATAGAAATCACACAGGGAGGGAATGCTGCAAAAAGGTCTAATAAGATAATAAGATACAACTAGGCCAAAGAGCCGGCAGAAATGACCGTCCTGCCAAAGGCCACCGTAGTGAGGGCAGCAGGATCGATCCGATAATGACGAATGAAAGTGTTCCTGGAGGACCAGGTAGCCGCCTTGCAGATGGTTTCTGCTGACACACTGGCAGAGGCTGCCCATGAAGTAGCCACTCCTCGAGTAGAATGCGCCTTAACCTCATGAGGCACAGGTAAGCACTGAACTCTGTAAGCTGCTTGGATCATCTTCACCAGCCATGAGGCCAGAGTCCTGTTGGTAGCTGCCTGGCCTCTTCGAGTGCCTCTTGGGAGAACGAAGAGATTTGGAACAGACCTGAAGTCCCGTGTGACTTCAATATAGAGTTTGAAGGAGTCTACTACGTCCAGAGGATGAGGTTCCCCTAACACTCCCAGCAGAGCAAGGCGAACGATTTCCTGATTCAGATGGAAGGAAGAAGCGACCTTCGGAAGAAAGGCTGAGTTAGGTCGTAAAACTGTCCGATCAGGAAAAAAAAACAGTAAGGTGGGTCCACCACCAAGGCTTGTAATTCTGACACACGTCTTGCTGAGGCTATTGCTCCCAGAAATGCGACCTTAATAGTGAGATGCCAGATGGAAGCTTCTGATAATGGGTGGAATGGAGAACGTGCAAGAGATTTCAACACCACCGTTAGATCCTATTGCTGGAAGGACAGTCTCTTTTGAGGTTTCAGTTTGAGGCATGCTTTCAGAAATTGCCTAACTTAAGGCTCAAAGGACCATCTGGTGCTTGTTAACGCGGAAATTGCCGAAATGTGGACTCTGACAGTGTTCCAGCTCAGACCCATGTCTAACCCCGACTGTAGGAAATCTAGCACATTGCTAATGCTAGGGGAAGATGGATCAAATCCTTCCCTGGCTGCTGCCTGAATGAATTTGTGCCAAACCCGTTTATACTTTGTATTGGTAGAGTTCATCCTGGCCTGAAGCAGGATGCTGATAACTGAACAGGAAAACCCTAGGGTGTGGAGTCGATCCCTCTCAATCTCCATTCCGCTAACCCCAATTGGAATCCCCTTGGGTGCTAGTGGGCCCATCTCACCATAGGAATGGTGGAGGACAGAGTGCCAATCAGACTGAGGCATCTTGAAGCTGGAATCTGATAAGCGGACATCATGTGCAGCACCTTGTGATGGACACTCTCCACCTTCTCCTCTGGGAGAGATATGGTATTTTCTGCCGTGTTTAAGAGAGCTCCCAGAAAGACCATAGATTTTGAGGGGACAAGCTGAGACTTGTGGTCGTTCACCAACCAACCGAACCGTTGGAGTGTCGAAAGGAGAATGTCCTGATGTCTGAGCAGTACATCCCTGTCCTGTGCTAGGAGAATGATGTCGTCCAAGTAGTGGTTCACCCGGAGACCTTGTTCCCGTAGAAGGGAGATGAATGGAAGGAGAACCTTCGTGAAGGTCCGGGGAGCTGTACAGATCCCAAACGGGAGGCAGCAGAATTGGAAATGCAGGTTGAGGAAGGAAAAACAGAGATATTTCTGAAAACAAGGATTTATGGGTACGTGGAGGTAGGTGTCTGCCAAGTCCACGGACGA